TCCTTTTGGATACAATTGACTTACAAGCCACAAAGAGAGAGAAAAAAGGGGATGGGGGTGGGGAGGAAATAATTTCCAAAGTGGCCATAGCCACTGAGGTCAATTTTCTTTGTGGCTTTAGACAATGTTGGGATGTCTCAGTTTGTCCCGCTGTTAATAGGGAGCATACCATCAGCTACTGTGAACCCCTGGGAGCATGAGTCAATTTTTGTGGTTTGCAAGAGCAAGTGTTTAGTCATTAGGAAACCTTCAGGGGAGAGTGTGGACGGGGCCAGAGCACCCAGGGAACAAGTGTCAGGCAAGAGAAAATGGGGCTGGACCCTCATTAGCGTATGATGGATTGATCTTCTGCCATGGACTCCCCAAACCCCCAGCCATTCCAACTTAAAGCCTGTTCAATATTTTAAAACCAATTTTTGAGTTTGCTTTTTTTTTTTTAATATTGCATTAATAAAAAAATACATTAACATTTGGGTCAGGCAGTTTAACTGATGGCAAAAATTTGTTGGGCCCCAGGAGAAATGGGCTCCCTTTTCTGGAGAATGCATTATCAAGAAACGGAAACTAATCAGCTCTGAAGGCAAGACACCGAGAGGAGTTCCAAGTGGCCGACAAGAGAGAATGCTTTAAGTGAACCAAACTGAGAGAAAACCTCCAAGAGGCCCACAAGGGGGTTGTGGGTACTGGCAGCATTTAGACATGGATGCGTGTGGAGATTGGTTTCAAGGGGGGCTGCCAATAGGTGTTGATTCCTTGATGTGGAGAGGATCATCCTTCTCAAGTCTGCAGGTGACTGAGCTGCTGCCTGAGCTGCTGTTTGAGGGCTGCGGGCAGCAAGGGACAGGCCAGCTCTATTGAAAATAGACCCCTCTTCATTCGGCTGCTGACGGGGTCTGGCCATGGCAATCTGATGAAATAGCTTGTCTGATTCATTGTTTTCATACCCAAGAGTAACTGTGGAGGTGTGATGAGTTGCCCATCAAGAATGTGTTATTGACTTATGAGCTCGGGTGGGTGGGAGCTCCCCTTTCAGGGGAATTGGGGAGGGCATATGGGGAAAAAGGGAAGAGTAGGGGAGTGGGAGAAGAGGAGGGAGGGGGCTACAATCAGGATGCGAAGTGAATCAATTAATTAATTAATTAATTAATTAATTAATTAATTAATTAAAAAATAAGAGGAAGAATGTGCTGGCTGTCCCTCATGCTTTCCCTCTTCTCTCCTGAAAGGCTGACTCCCATGGACTTTGTCCTTAGGACCCTAACAAATGGCTTTGAGTTCTGCATAGCCAGTGAGAAACCCAAGAACTGAGAGTGAGAAAGAGAGAAGTTGAGATGTTCTATCATGGTCTCTCCTTGCTTTAGGCCCAACATTGAGTTCTCCATGATTCGGCCTGTCCTAAGTTTCCTCCTCCAGCCATGGATCCAGCTCATGGTTCATGGAATACCTTCCTCCTTTGTCCAAGGATGGTGGTGGCTCCTGCCAATGCTGACACAGACCTCGATATTGGTGCTGGCTCTTGTGACCCACCCCATCATCGGACCCCATGGTGCCTTCCATCTGATTGGTCTTCCTCTGGGTCCCTGATTGATTTCAAGACTCAAGAAAATGTGGCAGCAAAGATCCCAGGTTCGATTCTCTAGCAACAGTGGATGTTTTAGTCTCTGTTCTATTGCTGTGAAGAGACAGCATGACCAAGGCGACTCTTATAAAGAAAAGCATTTAATTGGGGCTTGCTCATATCTCAGAGGCTTAGTCTAGTATGATAATGGCAGGGAGCATGGACGTAGGCAGGCAGTGGCTGAGGACTTTATATCCTGATCCTAAGGCAGCAGGCAGAGAGACAGATAAAAGCTGGCATGGGATTTTGGAACCCCAAAGCCCACCCCAATGACACACTGCTTTCAACAAGGACACACCGCTTAATCCTTCTAATCCTTCTCAAACAGTTCATCAACTGGGGACTAAGCATGCAAATATATGAGCCTATGGGGGTCGTTTTCATTTAAACCACCACAGCAGACATGTTTTTCTTAAGTTGTTGGGGAGTTTGCTTCGTTTTCAAATAGGAGGAATAGGAGGGTGGTTCTGTGATCAGGAGCCAGATACAGGAGACAGAGAACTCTAGAGATAGTGTAGTGCCTGAAATGAACCTATTAGCCCCACCCACGAAAAGACCAGGTAACTCCCTAGAATGCTGGGACCTGTAGTTCTTAGAAAATAAGAAAGCCTCATGGGAAAGTATGAGGGTCTATGAGTTTTGTCCATAAAACCCCAACAATGTGTGTTTTGTGTGTCCCTGGGAAATTCCAGGGAGTGGTCCTGACCGAAGTCCATCTTTTGGTCAGCATTTAATATTTAATAAAGTTTGCATCAAATTTGGCCCCAAATGGTAGAATTGGTTTTTCTTTGGCAAATCTCAGGATTAACAGTAGGGCTCCAGAATCAAGACTGAAGAAGCAGTATGACATGTATTACCCATGACTCACTGAAATTCTTAGGTTGACTGTGCAACCTTTCAGTATCTAGTGAATTCACAAAACCACTGTAAAAAGCAGGGATCTTGCCCTTTATTCATGAGGCCTGGAACAACGCCTCAACTACTATAGGTGCTCACTATACATTTGCTGAATAAAATAATACCTTTTCACTATGATGCCACAAGCACTCAACACACCTCTACCCAGTGCTTATGCACAGATCTTGCATTGGGCTTGGAGTACCGGAATGAAAACAGGAAAAGAGTTGGACAGATGCTGGTACCTTTGCCAAAGGATGCTTTCTTCTGCAATAGTTTTTAGGGCCACTGTCAAGAATATAGTATTTCCTTTTGATGAACTCAGAACCACCTTCCATGACTTGCAGGAAAGTGTTACACAAAATTATATATTTGCTAGGCTTTGGCTAGCAGGTACTTTGATATAATTTTTGTTTTCTCTTTAGCTCTGTTCCATGACTCTCCTTCAGTCCTCTGAAGGGAAGCATACTCATCTATGTTTTGCCAGCGAGCCTAGCTTTTTGACCCATATGAATGTTCAATTTAACATATGCTGATAGCATGATGAGTTCCGCTCCCTTGGTACTGATCATGTGAACTTAAGGCCATCTTTAATCCTCTTTCACCCATTATTATGGCTTAGATATTAAGATTATAATGACTTAAAAAAATCTTATACACCAAGGTTGGTAGTTCCTTCTTGAAGGATGGGTGGGATTACAGAGACAGTCAGGAACCTGGGCAGCTTAATGGTAAATAAGATGGTCCCTCCTTTTAAATAGAATCTCACAGCTTGGAAGCTTTGGTTCATGTCTGGGTTATTGATGGGTGTAAATTGCTTGGTTATTCCCATTTCCCAGGGCCTCTTGCTTCAGCATTCTCTGCTACACAAGGCAGGGGTCACAGGGCTATTATTACTCCTGCTTTCAGTACCCAGTGAGCTTGAACTTGATAGTCCCTGAGCTGAAATAAATGAACAGAAGATGCAGTTGCTTCCTTGACTGTGGAAATAGAGTTCACTTCTAAGTCTCCTGGTATGCTGGTGGTCAACAACAGAAGATCTTATGAGAAGACCCAAAAGACACTAATTATATTTATTTAGTTATGCTAATATTGGGTAAACACAGCTGCAGAATACCTTACTGGGATACACTTCTCTCTGTGCTGACTTGAGATCATCCAGAATGTTAATGTTCCTGGCTACAAAACTGAAATGTGCTGAAACTTCCCTATTTACTAGGTTCTTATCAATGAAATGGGGTATTTATTTGCACAGATTTGGTGTTTAAACCCTTGTCAACAACTACACCGAGAGAAAACTAATGAGCAAATTCATCAACTGCACTGAAGTTCCTAAACTCCTTTAAAGTTTGATTGGTCATATTAATAAATAAAAGGAAACACATTTACATTTTCCTAGCTCATTAGTGAACAGGGCTCAGGAAGTGTGATCCTTACTCAATTGGGATGAACACACAGTTTAGCACTTTTGATGAGATGGGTGAAAATGTGCAGCTGTTTCCTTGCATGTTACAGTACTTGGATACAGATGTCTCTGACTTACCATGCTTCAGCTTTGATTCTTCAAGACAGTGTAAAAGCCATAAATGTTCAGTAGGCACCATACTTGGGCTTCTGCACTTTGACCTTTTCCCTGAATGTCTACAAGGTTCCAACCTCTAAAGTGGTGATGGGCGGTGGTAGCAACTTCTACTTGGGCCCGGTGATCGCCAGAGCTGGCAGTCAAGACCCTACAGTGTGCCATGTGGCTAAGGTAGGGTGCTCTGTAGAACAGTCTTCCAAAGCACTTTTGACTTTATAATATTTGTGACTTATGGTGTCACCCTATCATAAACAGGAAACGTCTGTACACACAGAGATCATTTTTGTCAGTCTGCCAGATGTGTCCAACTTTCTGAAATTGTGACAGATGTCATTTATACACTCTGTCATGCTTTGAGAACTGCTCAATCAAGTCATCCCTCCCCCTAAATTGCAAAAAAAAAAAAAAAACAAAAAAAACCCAAAAAACAAAAAACAAAAAAAAAAACATCCTTGTAATGGTCTAAGTAAGTTTATGATTCAGTGTTGAGCTGCATTCATAGCTGTGTTGTGCAACCAACCTATACGTCACAGGTTGGACACACCTACAACAAAAATATTAAAAAATAAAATAAAAATAAGGGCAGTACGGATTTTTCTGGTTCAGATGCTGTTCAGTTGTCTTATCCCAGTCTCCTCTGATCACACGGATCTACCTTATCTCTATTCCATTCTCCACAGGAAGAGAAACTATCAGGGATCAGGGATATACCCGCGTGACCACTGGCAAAGCTATGTGGTACCCCTGTGAGGGGAAGATGAACCTGGGAAAGCCAGAGGCTCAGTTCCAAGGCTGTCTGCACTGGGGCTTTCATGGTGGAGCCAACTTCCTGTGACCTCCAAGGGGGCTGCTGCCTACCAGAGTGCCAGGCCTTGCTTTGCAGGACAAGGAAATCAGTCTTACCTGAGAAGTTGCTCCCGAGGCTTCAAACAGTGAGTTACAGTCTCCTTCATGGTATGCTTCCTTACAGTCCCGGCAGAAAACGAACTGCAAGAGAAGAGCATGTGTCAGGAGCGGTCTGCTGCATTCCACACTCTGTTTCAATCTCTCCGGCTTGAGTGATGGTTTGTGGGTCAAACGGTTGTCTGCAAAGTGGAATCAACTGATATTTTGATGGGGCTGTTCACTGTCAGAGAGGATTCTGTGCACCTCAACAGGATCACAATGATGATGTGTCCTGTGTCATTTCTTCCTGTTGTCCCCAGCCCACTGGAAGAGGCAGCAATGCAGGAGAATGCCTGCAAAGAGCTGTCACTGGAGCCAGAACAACAACTTCCTTCCAGGGTCATCTTCAATGTCTGTTCTAAGTCTGTTTCACAATAGGCTTATGTGGTTAGTGGACTCGCTTTTGAATTGAGAGCTTGTGATAAAAAAAAAAAAAAGAATGGAATGTTTTGGAACTGGACTGTGTCCTTTAGCTTATTCCCCTTCATTCTCCTAGATGCAGAAGAGAATGTCTTATCCCCCAGGACCTTAGACTGAGGCTACATTTGCACATAGAGCCTTTAATATGAGTAGAGTAAAAGGAGCCATTAGGATGGCCCTAACGCATTAGGACTGGTGTCCTTGTAAAAAGAGATCAGAACATAAAACACATTTGCTGAGGAACGAGCGTGTGTGGATACAATGAGAGACAACCATTTGCCAGCAAAACAAACAAGACCAATAACACCAACTTTGTTTTGAAAAGACATCCGCTGCTTTTCTTGGACTCATGAGAAACACCAACCCAACATGTTCTTTCCTTATAACACCTTCACTGTGTAAGCAAACTCAGCTTACATTGAACATCCCTTAATCCAAGATGTTTGGGACCGGATTTAAATCAAACTTGGCATTATTTTTCAGATTTCAGAATGTTTGCATACACACATACATAGTCACACATTAACATATACACATACACATATATACATGTATGCACACATACATACATGTATACATGTGGTTAGTGAAAGATTTGGGGGGCTGAACACAAATCAAAGCACATAATTCATTTAAAATAGGCCTTGTCCACATAGCCTGAAAAACATTCCATATAACATTTTTAGTTTGCCTGTTTCCTTTTAATTTTAATTTTATGTGTTTGGGTATTTTGCCTGCATGAGTGTCTGGATAGCATTTCTGTGCCTGGTGCCTGTGGAGGCCAGAAGAGGGTATCCGATCCCCTGGAGCTAGAGTTACAACTAGAATTGTGAGGTGTCATGTGAGTGTTGGAAATTGAACTCAGGTCCTGCGGAAGAGCAGCCAGTGCTCTTAACCCCTGAGCCATCTCTCCAGCCCCACGTCTCTGTTTTGACTGAGGCTCATCAGTAGAACTCTCCTCCTGTGTCGTGATGACAGTGTTTAAAGGTTCAGGTTTTGAGGATGTTAGACGTGGGGTCCCGGCTGCTCACCCTGCACTTCTCACAGCGGAAAGACTGACCCCCAGGGCGGTGGGATATCAGCTTCGCTTAACCGATTCAGGTGGTGGGAAAGTGCCGGCACCTGCCCCTCACAGACTGCCAGCACCACCAGGCTTTACCCCCTTGTATTTTATTTGTCTCCTTGGATACGGTGAGTTAGTGTTGCCCCGCCCCCAAGGTTTCTCTTTCTCTTTAGTGTCAGTGCAGAAGTCTTCCGGTTGGCCCCACCCCATCCCTCAGCTTTGACATGCTGTGCTGAAAAGCTATGCACGATGGCTCAGTCAGCTCAGCCATAGAGAGCTGGCCGGGATGCCACCCGCCACTTTGGAGGGAAGCTAGTCTGATCTGTTGGCGTGACAGGAAAGCCGCTTCACATCTTATTAGCCAGTGGATGAGATATAAAATCAGTTTCATGGTGCAGGAACACCCTGGAGGTTGATCTGTTTGTCAGAATAAATAGGCCTCTCCTGACACAAAGACATTAAATTCACTGGTACTGTGAAGAAAGGACCATAAAGAGAAAAGACTAAGAGAACATACACACGCAAATGACAGCTGTGCCATGGCTGGTGTGGAGAGAGGAAGACAATGCTGTATGAATGTGCTGGTGGTGACTTTAATTCATGTGTTAATTTGTGCTATTCCAATGCTACCCTTCCAGGGCAGCTCTACCGTACTGTGGGCTCTTTCCAATCAATGACATCAATCTGTTCTATACACATTGAGAAACCACCAAGAACGGTGGTTCTCAACCTGCGGGTTGGGACCCCTTTGTGGGGTCAAATGACCCTTTCACAGCAGTCACCTAATACCACCAGAAAACGCAGATATTTTCTTTATGTACTTTAGTACATGAGGAACTGTACTAAAGGGTCACAGTGTTAAGAAGGTTGAGAACTACTTATCTAGGTCTAGTTTGATCTTAAAAGTGTTTGGGGGATTTTATTTTTTTTTTTGTATTTGGACTTTTCATTTTTTTAAATTAATTTATTTTTTAATTAATTAGTTTATTCACTTTGTATCCAAGCTGTGGACCCCTCCCTCATCCCCTCCCACTCTCACCCTCCCCCTTCTCTTCTCTTGCTCCCCTCCTCCAGTCCACTGATAGGAGAGGTCCTCCTCCCCTTCCATCTGACCCTAGCCTATTAGGTCTCATCAGGAGTGGCTGCATTGTATTCCTCTGTGGCCTGGTAAGGCTGCTCTCCCCTCAGGGGAAGGTGATCAAAGAGCCAGCCACTGAGTACATGTCAGAGACAGTCCCTGTTCCCCTTACTAGGATACCCACTTGGATACTGAGATGCCATAGGCTACATCTGTGCAAGGGTTCTAGGTTATCTCCATGTATGGTCCTTGGTTGGAGTATCAGTCTCAGAAAAGACCCCTGTACTCAGATTTTTTTGGTTCTGTTGCTCTCCTTGTGGAGTTCCTGTCCCCTCCAGGTCTTTCTATCTCCCCCTTCTTTCATAAGATTCCCTGCACTCTGCCCAAAGTTTGGCTATGTGTCTCAGCATCTGCTTTGATACCCTGCTGGGCAGAGTCTTTCAGAGGCCCTCTGTGGTAGGCTCCTGTCCTGTTCCCTGTTTTCTCTCTCTTCCTATGTCTATCCCCTTTGCCTTTCTGAATGAGGATTGAGCATCTTACCCAGGATCCACCTTCTTGATTAGCTTCTTTAGGTGTACAGATTTTAGTATGATTATCCTATATTATTTATCTAACATCCACTTATAAGTGAGTATATACCATGTGTGTCTTTCTGCTTTTGGGATACCTCACTCAGGATGATCTTTTCTAGATCCCACCATTTGCCTGAAAATTTAATGATTTCCTTGTTTTTAAATCAGAGTAGTATTCCATTGTGTAAAAGTACCACAATTTCTGTATCCATTCCTCAATTGAGGAACATATGGGTTGTTTCCAGCTTCTGGGTATTACAAATAAAGCTGCTACAAACATGGTTGAACAAATGTCCTTGTTGTATACTTGGGCATCTTTTGGATATATGCCTAGGAGTGGTATAGCTGGATCTTGAGGTAGCACTAGTCCTAGTTGTCTGAGAAAGCACCAGATTGATTTCCAAAGTGGTTGTACAAGTTTACATTCCCACCAGCAATGGAGGAGGGTTCCCCTTTCTCCACTTAGGGAGATTTTTAACCAATTAGTTCAAAACTCAACAAAGGGCTTGGGCAAACACAAAGGACTTCTGTAGCTGGGGTTTGGTACTTTATGGGTTCTTTCTTTTACCCTTCACATCCATTTTCTTCTTCTCTTTAGATGCCCTAACACTAGAGTTAAGAGGTAAAAGGATAGAGAGGAAAGGAAAGAGATCCCTGAATAAGGTCAGAGGTCAGAAAGCGGGGGGGGGGGGGGGGGGACCACTTCTTGCTGATTAAGGGTATCGAGCTTCTTGGGGAAAGTTTGATCCTTGCTGTCAAAGATATCTAAATTCTTCTTGTTGTTTCTTCTTTGTGTATGACTGCTTAACAAACTGTGACTAACAGCAACCAACAACCAACCAACCAGCCATTGAGGTTCTAGCATTTACATACCCTCTCAAAAGTCCCCAGAATTCCAAAGGTCACACAATCACAGAAACTATCTGCAGCTGGCAAAACCATTCCTGTGCTAGAGCACGAGGCAAATTACAGTCAGTTGCTGCGAAGCAGCCCCATATTGCCACACGTGGGATTAAAAGGAAAACATATTCTAATGTTTCTGTGGTTTTAAAGAAACCAAAATTCCAAAATTCTCAGTACAGAATTCAGTTCCTAAACTACATACGAAGGCATCCAAAGGTGCCACAAAAAACACTAGACTGAAATGCTTTAAAAATCGGAGCAAAATGCAGTGCTTATCAGCATCTAGAAGGCTCTATGAATTACTAACTCAGAGTTGTTCCTGAGAGCCCACAGGCCCCTCTCTGCCTCTGCTGCACCCCTCAGCGACCAGGTCTCTTTCTGCAGAGTGATAGGAACCTGCATATAACACTTTTTTTCTGCCAGTCTCAGCAAACGACACAGATACTTAGTTACCTACAAAACTCCACAATGGTGGGCTTCTCTTTCCCCTTTTTTCTTTTGTTAACAGTGGAAAATATTTTATTCTTAAATATCTAAAGAGGACTTTATGTTTGAAAAGGAATTATGAGGCACACAGAGATCCTCACAACTCCTCCTCTTGCGCTTCCCCGGCAAAAACAGTAACAATGATTTATTTGAATGTTTTTTACATTCTCTTTGAAACCAACTCATCATAATTGTTTCCTATTTAACAAGATGCCATCCTTTTACACAACAGTTCAGAAACTGCTTTTTTTTTTTTTTGAGATAGGGTCTCACTAAGTAGCTCAACTTTGGGATTGAGCCTTATCCTGGCCTCAGCCTCTTGAGTGCTGACATGATGCTCCACCTCATTAGGCAACAGAACGCCTCTGAGATCTTGGGCCAGTGTACTGGTTCTGAAACTATGTCAGGAGGGAAATCTTGTTTGGAGAAAAGAGACCCCATCAATGGTTCCATACTCACTGCTGCTTTGCACACCTCTCGAGGGGGGCTCATGGGGTTTTCCCTGACCAGCGATGTGAAA